TAGTTAGCTATAGTTAGCTGCTACAGTTAGCTTTAGTTAGCTGTCGCTCCCCAACCCAGCGGTCGTGGGTTCGACTCCCGCTCACGACCCTTTGCTGCAGCTCTGTCCCATCCTTCTGCCCCTTCCTGTTTCTCTCTGCTGCTCTGAATAAAACATATTTTTTAAAAAGAAGCAGTGGCAGGACACTTTTAAAGGGAAATTCTGCAGTTTTCTGTTGTTTATCTCGAGTTCTACCAGCTACAACAATAACAAGATGAACACATTAATGCATCAACATTCCAATAATATCAAATATGTAAACCTGAAATATGTAGAAAAACATATTATTGGGGATGTTTCTATTAAGTGACAGTGAGTCAGCTGGTTGCACTACTGATCAGTGATCAATAGCGGTTTCTCGTTCTCACAGTCAGAATGAAAGGCAGACAGAAATAGACTTTATGAACCTGAAAATTTCCTCTTTAATGATCCACAAGGAAATAAAACAAAGAAATAAATCATAAATTAATCAATAAAAATAAAGATCAGCGGTGTGAAGCTGAGTCGGAGGCTGAAGAGCACCGATCAATAATCGGATCTCTTTCTGTTCGTGTCCACTTACTGAGAAACTCCCGGAGCTTTGAGCCGCCTCTCGTGGCCTTCATCAGGTCACGTGATGCTGAGCAGCTCCCAGAGGACCACCACGTCCAGCTGAAAGCTCTGGAGAGGATTTCAATCAATGAATAAGTGATCAGGTGGTTATTGACGAACTGATCTCCAGCCTTCGGTTAAACTGATGATCTGTAAAACCATCATGAAGCTGTGCAGACTGAAGTCACAGCGAGTCCACAGTGTTCACCACTAAAGCATCACGGACACCCTCAGGTCTGACATTTCTGAATGAACAGCAGCTAGAACATCATCAGATGTTCACAGCTGCTGATAAAGAAGCAATATTAAAATAAAATGATCAAACTGGGTCATGTTGTTCTGTCCGTCCACCCCTGGGCCCTCATGTAGCTCGTCTACTGAGAAGCTGCTGGCAGCTGGGATCAGTTCCTCTGGCTGAGAACAAACTTGATGTGCAGTTTGATGAAGAAGCCAGAAGCTGCCGGAAAATGTTCTGCGGCGAGATGAGACCGGAACAGAACCTTTTGATGTAAACAAGCAGCGTTCTGTTCAGGTCCTCCAGAAGCACGGTGGTGGCATCATCACACGTTGGGCCTGTCTGACGGCATGAAAACAGAAGAAACCTGTGCTGAAGCTACAACCGACACTACATCATTTGAAGACACTGATTTGGTTCCTCCTGACGTCCACGGAGAACCGAGACTTCAGACAAGCTGCTGACTCGGTTTTAGTCTAACATGAGACTTTGACACACAGTCATGGCTGCTTCCTGATTGGCTCTTACTGTTCATGTGGCGTCTCCTGATCATGAATTTCATGTGGTTCTGACCTGGTTTTCTCTGCAGCACAAATCTCTGCTCGCAGTTTCAGCATTTTGTGCGGACAGCAAAGCGACCTCCCACTTCCTGGCTACACCTGCATGTCCACGGTCATGTGACGTGTTTCCCAGCATGTCGGTCTGCAGAGGTTGGTCAAAACACTCGTCTGGCTGAAATGAAGCTGCATCAGCCTGAATCAAGTCGACGCACCACAGAAGACATTTTATTCCCCACTCAGATGCTGAAGCTAGATCAACAAACAAATGACCAAGTTCACCATTTCCATCGTGTATCCGTCAGGATGAGAGCGCAGCGTGATGCTTCAGCTCAGAGCCATGCAGAACTCTGACCTTCGGTTTGTCACTTTATAGACCAAACAGACTCAGGTCAGCCAACAGCAGGACTAACCAGGAAGTAACAGCCTGAGACCAGCTGTTTGACACTGAAGGAAACTAAAACCAGACAGGCTCTGAACAGTTCACAGGTTCACTGTGATGGATCAGAGACACTGAACCTCAACATACGTGTTTCATGTGTGTGAGGCGGCGTCTGACCGAGACCCGTCTCTCATTCATTCCAACAGCAGTTCTGGACCTTCACAGGTGTCGAGTTGTGGCTGGACGATCCTGACTTACATCAAGTAGCCAAGACCTCAACGTTACGCAAATGAGGGGCAGCGACGCGCACGTCTCTGAAACGCATGCGACGCTCCCAGAATGCATTGCTCTGAATCGTTGACGAGACGGAACAGACGAGCTTCATCTGGATTAAGTTCAGATTCTACGTCTGCAGCAGGTAAACATCTGCATTTCTAGGGCTCGTTGCCACAGCGTCACCTGTCCTACCTGTCCTCACCTGTCCTACCTGTCCTCACCTGTCCTACCTGTCCTCACCACTCAAGTGTGGAACTTTAAAGGTTTTAAAGATATATTCCTCCTACTTTTGCTCTGAAAGTGAAGATTTGTTTCCCCATAGCATTTATTTTGTTCTGTCATCGTCTGTTTGCTCTCAACATTATCTGACACAAATAAAGAGCTCATGAAAACCAACATGTTCTGCACAAACATTAGCTCATCTCGAGCTTTCTTCTTCTTTTTCTTCACGTTTCAAACATTTTTAGAATGTTCAGTTGACCCCGAATCAACCGTAACTCCTTAACAGTGAACACTGTGGACTCCTCAAAGGTGAGCTTCCTGCAGCGCCTCCTTCAGGACAAACTCTCCTGTGCAGTCTCTGACTGATCAGGTGTACTGAGCAATGTGGCCTGCAGGGGGCGCTGCTGTGGCATGCTCTTCTTCACGTGTCTGCAGCACTGCGTACTGATAAAACGGTCACAGAAAACCGATTAGAGTGGTCATCCTGTTTCAAGTCAGCAGCTTTGTTTGGTCAATCAGGTAGAAAATCAAGGTTGGACATCGATCAGTCCACATGCGCGCTAACAGCACAATGCTAACAGCTAGCCTCGGTGGGCTGGCCCTACAGTTTTCCCATAATTCCGTAGCCCGGCGTCAATGTGCAGGTCCGAGCCCAGCTGTCGTACCGATAAAGCTCAGTGGACGCCATCGGAGGCACCGCCTCCCCGCCTGCTGGCGTCAGTAACGCATAGATCCTCGGCCGTGATTGGCGGGTTTAGGCGGGCTGCAGCGGGATGCAGCCGACGCCGACGCCGCCCTCGTGACACACCATGGGGGCCATGAAGGTCCATCGGTTGGTGTCAGGGTTGTACATTTCCACCGAGCTGAGGTTGGACTGTCCGTCGTAGCCGCCCACCGCGTACAGACGCCCCGACGTCGACACCAGCGACACCCGGCTGCGTCGCGTGTTCATGGCCACCAGGAGGCTCCACTGGCCGGAGGCAGAGCTGAACACCTCGGCGCCGCTCAGGAAGCCCGAGCCGTCGTACCCCCCCGCCACGTACATGTGGCTCCCCAGAGCCGCCGCACCGTGACGACAGCGCTTGTTGAGCATCGGCGCCGCCGGGTGCCAGCGGTTTGTGTGGTGGTTGTAGTACTCCACCTGCAGGGGGCGGGGCAACAAACACAGGTAACCAATGAGACAAAAAGAGTTAACAAAGACTGAAAACAATTAATTCATAAACAATCTTGAGCAGAGTATCATATTATAAGATATGACATAGGAACAGGACTGCTGCCAGTGATATCAATCATCACTTTACTAAGTCAGCTGAGTCCACGTCAGGCTCATGTTGAGAACTTCAGTCAGTTTTGAACCTGCTGTGTTAAGAGATGCAGCGACGTTCTTACATTTCTGTTAAACAAATCAATCGTCTCTCCTCCTTCATGGTGTTCTGGTTCCACAGAGCTGCAGGAGGAACATGAACCTCCTGCTGTGGTTCTCAGGTAGAATCTATAGCAGAGCTGTTGGATCCGACTGTATCAGACTTTACATGTTGTTTGTATCTCAAGCTTCCATCAGGTGGAGGAAGATGAATTCAGATTAGTCAGAAAACTGTAAAACTTCCCGTTTAGTTCAGTTCAAACTGATGAATCACAGAAACGCTGCGATCCAGACTGAAGACGTGTTTGTACGTTTAAAGGCTCCGATCTGCTGTCAGACTGACCGTGTTGAAGATCTGCAGACCGTCATGGCCGCCGGAGACGAAGATCCTCCCGTCAAACACCGTCACGCCGGCGGCACTGCGACTCGCGCTCATCTCCGCCACCACTGTCCACCTGCAGCCAGGTCACATGACAGGAAGCAGCTAAACACTTGGAACTGAGGAAGCCCTTCAACATGAGATTCATCTCCTGTGTGGCGGCGCCCCCTGCTGGACGCAGCCTGTTTTCATGTCATGAACCCAAACTAAAGTCTGCAACTAACAAACGCAGCTTTCAGAACGATCAGCAGGTTGTGACATTAGAAGTTTCTAAGAGCTGCTGTTGGTCCGTAATAATTAAAGTTCATCACCGACTGGATGATCGGTTCAGTTCACGTCTCTGGATTTTAATGAGGGTTCATACGTTAATGGACTGACCTGCTGTAGCGCTTCCCTACCTCGGTGCTACTCATCGTGCTTGACCCCCATTCACACACATTCACACACCAACAGAGAGGGAGCAACTTCAGCTTCAGTGGATTGTCCAGGACACTGTGGAGGGCGTCGAACCACCAACCACGCGATTAGAGGACAACCGCTCTACCCCGGAGCCACAGCCGCCCGTAACA